AGAGGTACCATTGGGGTCAGGAAAGGCTTTGGAGAAAGCAACCCTTTAAGGGATGTTTAGGTGCTCTCGAATGTGGGGGAAAGGGCAAGGGATGGGGGGAGAAATGGAGATATTTCCAGATAAAGGAAATAACATGAGCAAGGGCGCAGAGACACTGAACTGCTGTGTTTTACAGAAACTGAAAACAGGTTGGTTTAGCAGCTACTTTTCATTTGAGAAAATGGTCACCAGTCAAAAACATAATTCAATTTAACACAGCAGGCATTTATTGGTACCTTCCACTTCCGCAATTTATACTTGCTTTGGCCTTAGCTGCAGGTAGTTCTGCCAAATTCCCCAGGCTGTGCCTGCTTCTAGGCAAGCTCATGCAGGATTTCTACCTCAGAAGCCTCAGGGCTGCAGCTGCGTGAAGTCTCCATTTCCTATGCCCGGTCAAGGGGTTAGTGAAGCCTCCCCCCTCTCGCTCTCGTACCCACCTGCAGCAGCCTTCGTTTTCTTTCTCCTGTTGTCTCCTCCGCACCCCCACCTCCACTCCATCTCTTCAGTGGAAGCTTCCACGCAGCTAATGTGTATCTAGCTGCCCGTTCTCACGTGAGCCAACAGAACTAATCGAGGTAGCAGTGGAAAAACAAGCAGAGATTCGAGCCATCATTAAGCTAAACCAAAACGCGGAGCCTCTGGGGGTTTTGTGTGTGTGCCTTTCCTATGTTCACAAACCTTGGAAATGAGAATGTGAGGTAAGTAATTAAGGGATAATTAAGGGAATTCTTGAACCTTGCGTACTTTTCCCCATCTTGTATTTATTTTTGTAGCCATTACTTAATCTACACAAACAGAAGTCCACAACAGGGAAATCCTCTATGAAAAATCATATCAACAGATGATTAAAATTTTAACTTGATTTAGTTTTACATCTGCATTGCAAGCTTACTGAAGGATAAGTATCTTGGAAATACAGTATTTCCAAGTTTAAATGTCAAAAGCCAGTTCAAAAATAGCCCACTGGAGTGTTTTCCTCCAGCAAAGCAAATTCTCCTCCAAGTCCAGCATATCAGGGGGTGTGCAAAGTTTAAAACAAGGACAGAAAACTACAATAAATCCCAGAATATTGGCAGGGCTATAAAAGATTTATGATCAGCCACGCATTATGAGATTCTATTTCCAGCACATTCCTCCCAAACAACAGGACTTTCTGCGTTTGCAAAGAGCTATCCTGGATAGTCATCAAAAAGTAAATATCATGAGTAAAGATGTCCAAAAATAGAAGTATAGTTTTAAAAACACTAATCATAAAAAAGTTCAAGATATTTGTATTTCACCACCAGTTTTCCTTTTTTTCTATTCACCTCTCGTATTTCTATGCGTCTCTGAGAAGCATGATTTCACTTCAGTTTAGATATCATCACTGTATCTTAGAGTCAGAAGGGATTTTCGGTATCATTTAATCCAACCCTTTTATTTTACACTTGACCAGTCTGGCAAATTGTGTGCAGCACCTGCTAAGAGGTAGCGTACCAGGGCTGTAGGAGAGATACTGAGCTGAAAAATGCATGATTCCCGGAATCATTTGGCAAAAATTATTTCATTTCTGCCTTAAAAAAGTTTTATATTTATTTGAGGAGACTGATAATGTATACCTATAGATTAAGGCAAAAAAAAGCATAACTACAAAAAGATTGATCCAAACCAAGTGCAACACACAGATTGAAGAAGTGATTTTGACTGGTGGAATGTTGGAAGGCTATCTCAGGTAATAAGATTTAGACTAGATTTGAAGAATGGGTGTATTTTCACCAGATATCAGTGCAGTATGATACGCAGTTATTTTCCATGGATAGCGTAGTGTGGGTAAAGATTCACGAATAGTAAAGAACGTGTGTGTCCCAAGAGTTCTGAAACCTGATTTGGGAGAACAGTAGACGGAGAAGCCATCAGGCCTTGCTAATGCTGAGAGTTCGGCAGCAAGGATGCTCTGGTGCAAGAGGCAGACCACCTCGACCTCCACCAATAAGGCAACTTATTATTTCCTGTAAGAAAAAGTCCAGAGGTAGGTGCTTCCAGGATATATTAATTCGGTGGCTTATCAAATTCATCAGGGAAACTTCTTTTTTTCCATTTTTCGCTATTTTGCCATTTTCACCTTGCTGGGTCGAATCTCTCCTCGTATCACCGGCTGCCTCTGCAGTCTTGGCCTTACGCCAGGTACCACGGCGTGCTGCGTAAGAAGAGAGGCTGTCCATCCCTGGGTCTCCTTTTAGTAATGAGATCTTTCCCAGAAGCTCGCTAGTAGAACTCCCATCGGCTACAGCTAGATCATATGCTCACCTAAACCAGTCTCTGACGAGGGAAGAGGATTACCGAAACTAAGCAGGATTTTATCTGTTAATCACAGAAGAGCTGAACATTCAAGCAAAGTCGGGCTTTGTTAACAAAGAAAGAAGGAGGCTGGCTTCTGAGTAGGCGACTCACAGTGCTAAGTAACCACTGCTGCTGCCTAAACCCTGTTTTGGGAGCAGGTAAAGCAGAGGCCATCTCTCCCCACTTGGAGCAAAGGCCGGGAGGAGGGGGCCGGAGGTCCCGCTAGGCGGCAGCAGGCCAGCTCGGCGCGGAGGTCTGGGGCTCGGGCCGCGGCGCCTTCACAGCCTGCTCGGGTCACGGCGCAGAGGGAGGACACGCACAGAGCGGGGAGCCAGCTCAAGGTCAAAAACCTTTAAAGACGTTTGCGGATGAAATACGTTCCCCCGCCCCCGCGTCCGCGCAGTCCGCGCCGGGCCCGTCCTCGCGCGTCTCCTGCCGGTCACGTCATGCTCACTCCGTGTCTTTGAAGAGCGTCGCAAATCAACTTGTTATTTCCTCAGTTACTTCACTGCGTACGAGATGTCAGCTTCTGGACGCCTCGGCAGAGGGGACGCCGGGCCGAGGCGGCCGAGGGCGGTGATGCGGCCACCAAACCGCTCTCCATAATCATATGTTGCTGCCCTGCCGTCGCAGGAAGGAAATGATGGTGTTTTGTGAAACCACGTCTTTTTTTTTCAGCCACTGTTTTTTACTTTATGATAAGAGAAAATTAAACAAGAAAACAGAATGAGTCACTCCGTTGCCACCACTGCCCTGTCATGTTCCTTCCTGTTTTCTCCTCGGAGGCTGCGGTTAAGGTCGCTCCTCACTCGTTAGATTCTCCAGTCAGGCTTGGATGAAAGCACCAAGGAGATGTTTTGTCCTTTATTTGACAAATACTTGTTTCAAACATTATGCCAGAGAATAAAAAATCCAAATAAAACACAGCCATCCCGTCTGTCTGGGCAGCTATAAAAAATGATGAAATAAAAGTACATCTACTGGTATGGAGAGACGTCCGCACTACAGGAAAAGCTATAGCCACAAGCATTGTTTACTTTTCGGTGTGTGCGCGTCCCAGTGCATTCAGTGTCGCTATAAAACAATACCTGGGGCTGGTAACTTACGAAGAGAAGAGCTTCACCCAGCTCGCGGTTGTGCGGGCTGCGCCCACGCACCGTGCAAGGTGCGGGCCGCGCGTGCGGAGGTCACGCGGCGAGAGAGGAAGCGGGGCCGGGAGCTGCCAGGCTCTTTCTAACAACGAGCTCTTGCGGGAACTAATGGAGTCAGAACTTGCTCACCCCCACACCCAGGGAGGGGATGAATCTATTCAAGAAGGATCTACCCCCGTGACCCAAACACCTCCCATCAGGAACCACCTCAAGCATTGGGGATCAAATTTCTTTCTTTATTTTTCTATTTTTAGTAGAGACGGGGTCTCACTCTTGCTCAGGCTGGTCTTGAACTCCTGAGCTCAAGCCGTCCTCCCTCCTTGGCTCCCAAGAGTGCTGGGATTACAGACAAGAGCCACTGTGCCCAGCTGGGGATCAAATTTCGCCATGAGGTTTGAAGGTGTCAAAGAGCCAAACCATGGCAGCGTGTTGTATACATACCCATCAGAGTCTTTTTATTCATGATTCGTAAGTGTGCACAGATACGTTGAGGGTGGGGAGTGCTATCTTAAACCAATGAACAGAAACATTTGCCTGTCGTCATTCCGTCTTCTAAGGGATAGCGTGGGAGTGGCAGGGAGTGGTTTAGAAGGTGGTCTCAGTTGCAAGATTCACACCAGTGGGAGAAGAAATCTCTATGCTACTCCCTTTCGCCTCTACAAACCTATACAAGAGGAGTCTTGCCTGAGATTTTAATCATGTTAAAAGAAAGATTATAATTTCAAAACTTAGAGTAGGTGACTTTTGCCTAATATATTTTTACTTTCCAGCAAGGTAAATTAATTGTATAACAAAATATCTGACATGATATAGTTTCTATCTTCAAGGAACTCTTCTAGAAAAGAATATATAGATAAAATATTGCCATACAATATAATAACAGGCGTTACAAGGGCAATTTTATTTTCATATGTGTGTGTGTGTGTGTGTGTGTGTGTGTGTGTATACATGGAAGCACAGAGGAAGACATCACTACCTCTACTTGGAGCCACCCAGGAGGGCTTTCCCTAGGAGTTGGTCTTTGAATTGGGTTTTAAACACAAAGTCCCTCAAGGAATAAATAGGACATGTTAAAGCACGAAGAAGACAATACAGTGGGCCAGACCTCAGATGCACGCGTGTGCGCGTGTGCATGTGCTTGTGTGTGGGGGGGATGTAGAGACCACATAGGGAGGGAGTGTAAGCGGTCAGAAGGAGAGGCTGTAACAGTAAATAGGAGCCAGATGACGAAAATACACACAATCTTCAAAAGTGCAGACTTCATCCTACGCATGAAGGGTCACTGAAGACTGTATTTCCTTTGACAAAAAAGTAAACATAATTTTAAAAATGTTTTAATGTAAATTTTTTGTAATCAAAGAACAAAGGAAATAAAGAACTAATCTTTTGTTCCGAACCTGAAGCTTTGGATCCCTTAAACTGGCTTTTTGAGATGAGAGCAGTATGTCCAAAGTAGGCCTCCAGACTGGGGTCAGCCAGGAATCAATTTTTCACTAGTCCAAGAGGAAATAAAAGAACTAAGTACAATGTGATGAATTTTGTATAAAACTAAATTTATTCAGTATTTTAAAATTTGTTTTTGATGTCTGTCATTAGCAAAACAGAAAGGAAACTGTAATCCCATGTCGTTGTCCCTGATTTATTTTTACTTTCTTATCCAGTAAAGCTTAAGCTTAGGGAACCGCTGGACTGTGGTTGTCTAGTTTCACTAGCACTGCAAACGGAAAAAGGAAAATAAGCGGGCAAAAATGCAGGAAAAAGAAGAGAGAAATCAGA